CTGAGAGTGGCGAACGAATGGGTTGTCCACCAACTCCTCAAATCTGAGTGTCTATTCTGTTGAACTGGTGTTTCTCCTCCCTAGTTCCCCCAGCTGTGGATGCGTTCTCGGCCTTAAACACCACGAGGCAGTATGGTGGGAACGCCACATTTCACTTCACCATGCAACACACGCCCTATCCGGCGCCAACCGTTGAATGGTTTCACGACGGATCTCGAATCGATGCAAACACAGACAGGGTGCAATTGTCCAATGGCAGTTTGTCGTTGACATTGATCAACCTGACGCTCTCAGACGAGGGAGCTTACACCTTCATGGTGAGAAATGACCAAGGATCTGATAGTGCAATGTTCAACATGGATATTGCAGGTATGTCCAGTTTATTTTTAGTGAAGGGTTTTCCATGTTATGAAGTGGCTGCAATGGAGCTTGTTCACCCTAGGGAATGTTGGCATTAATTTGGCTTAGGGTTTAAACGGTGACAACCTTTGCATGACCGGGTATCCTCATTTTAATTTTGTTAGTGTATCACACATCTCTCTAGTGAGCACTCACCACCTCACACTGCAAGGCCTGACGACATTGTGACAGTTTGACTTACAGTAGGGTGGTGATAGGAGGGATTGGGGAGGGGGGGGAGGGGGGGGGGGGCAATGTCCAGGGGGTTCGGATGAGGAGAAAGCTCGGATAGAGGAGCAGTCGCACATCTATCTGAGACATGCACACTCCCAGGCTCATGCTTCCCATCATTTCTCATCCACTCCGGCAACTCCACAGGAACTAGACACATTCTGGCTCCGTAAACAAACAGTAGTATATAGTCACTCTGACCGGTTGCAAAACATATTGTGCGCCGCTTGTATGGTGCTTCGGGTGTGTGTGTGTGTGGGGGGGGGGGAATGAGCAAAATCTAATTTTCGTGCCTTCTATTCAATAGAAATTGGCATTTCGGATAATTGATTTTTTGGATAGTTGACGTTTGGACAATCGGCATTCTGCTGTACGGATTGGTGGGAACACGGAGCGAATTCCCCATGGCCATTTTGCATCACAACCTGTAGCTAAAATCTACTGTCCCTTGTGCCCGGTTTTTTGTACTGAATAGTGTGTGGGAGTTGAAACGGGAAAGCGCATGTTATCTCTTTGGATGTCCGCGAGTCACAAAAGATTTTCTTCATTTCATAGTAAAGAAAACTTAGAAAAGCGACCAAGGAACTACTACTGTAAAGCAACAAACTTTCGCGGCGTGCAAATTTAGCGTTTTCGTAAATCGGGCTGGTTCACGATGAGAAACGTTTGCGATTCTATATTTTCAATCGGATCTTGTACGGTCTACCTACGTATACAATCAGTGTACGGAGAGGTTCACGGCGATTTATATTCGCGAATGTGTGATGGTCGCGAAAATAGCGAAATTTAATCTCTAGCGAAAGTTCCTCCTTTTACAGTACACGTTATGCTACAATGTCCACTAACACCACGAGTTGCTAAAATATCAGCTCATTTTTTCTTGATTTTTTTGCAACTGTCCAGTCCCGCCATGTCCAAGTCTGCAGAGACGCGCTGCCGATGGAGTCAGCTGTATCCAGTGCTCCTGTGACGCCAATGCAACAAAGAGCTGCAATGATAGCGATAGTTGCACCTGCCTGGACAACTATTCCGGACTCACGTGTCAAGACTGCGCCGCGGCTTACTACCGAACGGAGGAGCAGTGCGTTCCGTGTTCATGCAATCCACATGGTTCCCATGACAACGTGTGTGACCAGGGTACTGGACAGTGCAGCTGCATGCCCGGCTTCAACGGAACAAAATGCTCAGAATGCCCGGACGGCTTCTTCATCCCGGACCCCAGCATTGAAAACACGACATGCGTAGCCTTTGACTCTAACGAAACGTGTCAAGGTGAGAATTTGAATGATTTTACATTGGTATTGATGGATTCTCCACAGGCCATAGCCTAAATCAAGGGAATCTCCGCCTGATGGTTGTATACTTCTGGCGAGTGTGACACTGTGTGTGAATCGAATGTAAATATCGTGACTGGACTGGCGAATAGAGCTTGGAAAGGTGACCTGGTCTACTTGCAGACATAGGCAAGTCAAGCTTCAAGATGTTTATGGAGTAGCTGTTGAGGTTGGTTGAGTTTTAGTTGCTTATCAAGTAGCTGTAGACTATCAGTATACATTGTCTTGGGAGCCAGTGGAGCTATTGCACACCTATCACGTGTCCACACAGTGGGACAGCCATGTTGGATCCGACTCCACTCAACTCCTGCATCAATGTGCCGCATGATGTCGGCAACGTTGTTTGCAACACCACTCAGCCCCCGGCGTCTATGGGTCACATGATGATGTCGGCGGCCATGTTGGTCTCACTGTCCACATGACATTATCACTTTCTGCAATAAAATTTAGTCACATGACCAAGATATGAACACCACTCAATTCCTGCATCTATGGGTCACATGATGTCGGTGGCCATGTTAGTTCCACTGTCCACATGACATGATCACTTTCTACACAAATTTAGTCACATGACCAAGATATGAACGCCACTGCATACAAGCCAGGTGGAACAGAATTTGTACTGCAACTCAGAGTTTCCCCCGGTCTCTCTGGAGGCGTGGGTTTGAATCCGACCGCTGCCACCAGTGTTAGCTCCCGCCTAAATGAAGTCCCCTCACACCAGAACTCAGGGGTGTTATAGTATTGAATATGGAAAGTATTTCGACAAGAGGGTAGGCAAGAATGAAAAGGAGAACAGGACAACGACAACTCAAGACAGCACTACAGAACCACTGGAGCATGCGCTCTTCTATACGTGGGTGGCTCTCATTGACAAAGGGGAACGAGCGGGAAATACGAATAGCGAGTATGCACGTCTTTGTATAAATATCCCTATTAAACTTGTGCGATCATCAGGCAACAGAACCCTCTCTATAATTTGGTTTCTACTTGGCGTACTGTCCGCATTACATGATCGCTTTCTGCACAAATCTAGTCACATGACAAACTGATGTTAACACCACTGTATAAATTTGGTTTCCACTTTGTGTACTCTGCAGCATGCTATTGTTCAGTGGCCGGCTCAGTCAGCAGTGTGTGTGCTAATGGAGCAGGAATATGTCAGTGCAGACCAGGTTACACTGGAGATAAGTGTGATTCGTGTACCAGTCCCGGACAGTTCTATGCTACTAATGCTGGTTGCACAGGTATGATATTCACAACATGCAAGTTTTTTATTTTATTTATTTTTATGAATACCACAGAACCATCAGATGCTGCGTAGCGGTGGCGGTGGCATATTGTATGGAAGTGCATATTGTTGCAGTGTTTCTCCCTGTCTCAGCAGGCTGGGTGGATGTGCAGTGTTTCTCTCTGTCTCAGCAGGTTGGGTGGATGTGCACTGACATGAATCTACATACATTTCAATTACTGGTGACATGTTCTGACAGTGAACTGACCAATGTGTACCGATATGCTGATCAGGCGGGTAGCCCGCATGGGGCACGGGGAGGGAGGGGGGGGGGGGCATGTGCACCCCGAAATATGTTGACCTAAGTTCAGCATGCATATACACATACTGATCATGAATGACATGCACCAGTCACCCTGCACATATGCGGCTGTGCACCCCCTAAAAGGGGGACCGGCTAAGCCCCTGCTGACCAGTGTTTGCCTATGCTGATCATTGTTGACAGCAGAGATACTTACCATCCCGTGAAACAACACGGGATTATTATTCCCAAAACGATGTGGCCCGGATTTGGAAGCTCTATGGGATGCGCGGTCCGTGAAACTCGCAATCGCAATTAGTGCCTTGATCTGCTCACCCATTGCGTGGCACAGACAAGCAATGCCAATTTGCGAGCGTGTAGAAATCAACCATGCCGCGATGGCGATTGGCAAAATAAGAGTATTGTGTTGTGTTGATTGTCCCAGAGCTGAGCGATGAGCTCTTCACCGGCATCAAGTCGTCCCTGGTTCAAGGCAGTGTTTTGAATCTGTCCTATGAGTTTGTCTACGGCTCACAGTTCACCCATCATGGACAAGTCTCAGTAAGTATTACTCATTCAGGGGGGGGGGCACTGCATAGTCCTTATGTACGTTGTACAGATGTACGAAGTTCTGTACCAGGCGCGTGCGCCGGTGCCCTTCAAGGGGGGGGGGGTTCCGGGGGCGTCCCCGGGAAATTTTTCAAAAAATGAAGCAAAATCCTGCATTTGAGCGAAAAAAAAGGTTGGGTTCCGGTCACCCAGGAACCCATACGGGGCACGCGCCTGTGTGCAAGGCCATAGGTATGCACATACCCGGTTGGGTGTTGATTGTGTGCTAAATTCAAGGGCCTCATCCACATTGAACGTTGGGTTCTCCATTACCCGTAGTCTCAAATTGGAGGGAGGAAGTCCATGGATAAACTGGTCCCTCAACAACTCCCCTTGATTGTCTGGAGTCATAGTTGTGTAAGCTCGCATCACTAACCGTCTTAATTCATCACAATAACGGGCTAGTGCTTCCCCGGTGGTCTGGCGGCGTCTAGCTTTAAATTGGGCTTTAAGCTGATGTCCATTTCCTATGGGGGAAAATCGGCAACCCACCTCTGCAAGTAGCCGCAGCCAGTCCCTCCTATGTCCTAAGGGAAGGGTGGTGTAAAAACGTTGAGCCCCCCCCCCCCCCTTAGTCTGACCCCTAGAAACTGTGGTCGTGCTGCCTCAGTCCACCCATTTAAGTTGGCAGATTCCTCAAAATACAAGTTATATTCCTCCCAATCTGCCTCACTGTGAAAAGGCCCTGGCATGATGAGCGGCCGATTGGGTTGGGCATCCCCTCCATACCCGCCGAAGTAGGCAGCAGGGCACCCTGGGAGCCTCGGAATCGGAGCAGGTTGAGCCGCGACATCTGGGAGAGGACCTGGAGGAGCGAGAGCAGCAGGGACAGGTGCAAGAGCCGCAGCAGGAAGCTCAGGAGGAGCAGCAGCACCTGGAGGAGCGAGAGCAGCAGGGACAGGTTCAAGAGCTGCAGCAGGAAGCTCAGGAGGAGCAGCAGCAGCAGGAGGAGCAGCAGCAGCCACAGCAGGAGCCGTAGCTCTTCCGGCGACGGGACCTCCGGCAACAGCAGGTTGCGACGGGACCACCGGCAACAGCAGGTTGCGGGGCAGCCGCCGCGGCAGCTAATTGACCACGGGTTCCTCTCTGTGCCATTCTAGAAAGCGAAGGGAACAAAGAAAAATAGAAAAAGAAGAAAAACCGGACGGAGAGCCAACACCAAGGAACAGAAAACACTACCACTCGATGGAAACGAAACTGGCAACTGAGCACGATCGCCAGCTCGCCCCGCCGTTTTACTAAGCCCGATACATTACCGTACGAACAGACATCACAACAATCCCATATCCAATACCGGGTACGATGCAATCGATTGCACCCGGCGGTAACCTCAGGATCATTGCAGCGCATGCGGCAGTGCGTACTCCCATAACGGGAATGCCGCAACCATTCCACGTGTCGTACTTTCCGTCCTACTAGCTCATCATAGTGTTAGGATCACCGGATCACACATGCAACAGCCACGGTCACAAAAGGACGAAGGTCAATAACTCAAGTCGAGATTCGAATGCCATTTCCAACCAAAATAATCAAGAAGCAAAAAACGAAAACAAGTCACCAATGATCAAAACAAACAACCAGCCGCGCCGGCATGATTACTCACCGACCTGGCTGAAGTCCGAGACGGTCATTGCTGGTCTTCGAACCTCAACCAGTTTCCCTCGGTCCGACGGAAGTACTCCTCTAATGTCATTTCTGTCGTCGACCAGTCTTGTAATTCGTCTAGACCCGAGTCGACGACAGAGGTGTCGACGGACCGAGCGGTGACCACCATTTGTTCGCCGGTTTGCTGTTGTTGCCTCTGCTGCTTCCTTTTCTGCCTGAGTTTGAGTACCCGCTCCCAGTTACGTCGCTGGCGGGACGGTGAGGCATGTTTCCGGAGCTTGGTTCGGGCGGCGGTGTCCCGAACCACCTGAGACCGTGGCGACTTGACTGCGTTTCGTCGTTTCTTGAAGTGTGGGAACTTCTTGAGGGCCCGTCGGCTATCACCGTCGTGATGCGGGGCGGCGGCATTCCGTGCCACCCGTTGTCGTGCGGGGTGATCTGACGTAAGTTGCACCGCCAGGGTGTGACGGGACCCTACCGTACTGAAAACAACAACACACAAACACAGCACACAATAGTATACCATAGTATCATATCCTGTTCACTGCGCCAATTGTCGTATCCGGTCGCCCCGGGGTCAGACCCCAGGGCTGCGGTCAGACACGAACTAACTTACTAAACTCACACATTACAAGGCCGTGCAGTGGTGGCCGTAACTATAATTACATTACTAGACGTTTCGGCACCACATCTACTCGCGATTCACACATGTTTAGACATGTATGCTCACACCAGCGTTCAGGTTTACTCACATCTTCCAAGAAGGTTACTTAGTTCAAGAGACAATATGAGCGGAGAGCACAAGGCAAGAGATATGAACCTGCGGCTGAAGCTTCCACCTGAAGGCGGAAGGCAAGAGAGAGAGAGAGCCAGAAAGGCGATTGCCATAATATCTAACTACGGGCAGGAGGCTGATCCCTCCGTACGAACTATAGGAAAAATAATGAACCATGGTACACCCGCATGCCGCAATGTACCAAAAATTAGCAATAATGTGTATAAACTGTATCAAAAAGAGCGGGAGCCAGCTAAGGAAATAACAGGGTATTCCAAATAAGGAAGGCACCAGGCTTTGCGTCATCATCATCATCATCATCATCTGCGTTGCCGAAAAAAATAATAAAAGTAAAATTAAAAAAATAATAATAAACGGCATTATGCAGCTGTGTAAGCAGTAGATGCACAGTGCGACTGCCAGGACCAGATGTGCGCTGGTGGAGAGCGGTTGCACTTTTTGGTGCTCCGCTCTCTTGGTGCATATCGGTAGCACAGAAAGTAATGGCAACCTACTGTGCTTGTTTTATTCTTGCCAAAGACAGTGGAGTAGTGGGCGAGCGGTGCTCTGGGGTTTGTTTTGTTTCATGAAGAAAGTTTTGAGAGAGGCTTTGCGTGAAGACATAAAATAAAGGCAGTTATGAATCCGTTTATGGGAGATAGATAAATAATTTGACACAGAAATGAGGCAATCTTGTCACGTGGAGATGTAAAAGGCCACGTGTCAATAGCATGGATACGACACATGCGCATTTGACCCATTTAGCCTCATAATTCATGGCAAGTATCGCTTTTCCAGCTTCTTCACTTGAGGATTGAACTAACGACTGGCTAGATCTCTGCCGGAAAAGGTTTTCGTATGAAATACCTTCAGGGCCCATTTCATAGTGGAAATAGAAGAAAACACAATAGGGTCCTGCACATTCAACACCCAACCGGGACTACGAGATTCTACACATTCTACGAGATTCTACGGGATTTTGTGCATCTGTACAACGTGCATAACGCCTATTGGT